TCATGTTGCACAATTATTAATTGTTTCCTCTCTTTTTTTTGAATAATATACCGATGAAGTAGTAGATTTTTCGTTTCAGGATAGCCAAAAATATTGATTTGTAGAAAATAATGAATTTTCCTAAACTTGTGTCTGCGCTTAAAAAATCGATTATTAGTAGCTAAGCTGTTTTCTTCGCGTGCATAATAACTCTCCTGGACTCAGCTGTACTGAGTTCAAATTGATGAGCGATATAGGAGATGCGATGGGAATAAGCGGCGTAAGAAGCGAAAGGTCACTGAGATCATAGCACTTCCGTAACGACAGTGAAAATGTGGTTCTAGGTGATGTAGTGTTTGTCAGGGGAACACTGATAATGGGTGACAGGAAGCAATATGATTACGGATGACGGATTATGAAAGTCACTCTCTGCTTTTCCTCTTCATACTCCTTATGGCTCAATTAGCAAACAGCTGGGGCTCAGTAAATGAGCACTTTAGTTCCTTCCGGATTGCAAAAGAATCGAAAGCGATTCAAAGCTCAGCTCTCGCATTCCGAAAAAAAAGTGATTTCTTGGCGATATTCCGCAGCGGCGAGCGGCAAGAGTCAATAGCTAATGAATGTGTGGAATTTCGGGTTGCTTTATGATAGCTGTGGAACTTTTTATCCTCATTTCAATACTGATACCATCAAAACATTTTGGACCGCACTGCATTCGGCGATTTCAAAGAATGGCTAATGTTTCTGAAGTGTGACAAGTACTGGACATTGGCAGCTGATCATTAATAAGGGCAAACAGGTAGAAATAGGCAGTATCTCGCAAATAGAAATTAGGTCATTCAGCTGTAACCATAATGGCCAGTACAGATATCCTACCAGTGATCTACCGCCAAGGATACACCAAGTGATATCCACTCAATAGTGCGCGTAGTAGTGGACGTAGGCCAACCAGGTGGTGAACCAAAGGAAAGTAACAAATAGTTATATACAATAAATAAAACAAAACAAAACTTTTTTGAAGGGGGGGGGGTGTCAAGGTGTAGCTTACTCTCCGTTTCGCACGTGCCCTTAGACGGAGAGTAAACGAAAGAATATTCTCCCCTTGTGCTCGTCAGTAAGGGAAGGGGGAGAATAAAGAGTTAAAGTTAGCTATTAATAGAACTATAAAATGCAAAAATGGTAAATGTGTTAATGAAAAGAACCAGAGTGACAACAGGAGAATAGAGTAGGAAAGCGATCCTATAAGACAGATTGAAGGAGCGTGGTTAACTGTAAAACACTATTTACCGCCTGATAGACGCAAGATATCTAGTAATAGTGTCGAAAATTGCGCTCAGTTGCACAGACAGTTATATATATGACGTTTCCTTTTATGTGTGTGGTGGTCGAGAGTGTTATATCGATAATTTTTTGATCGATGCTGCCACACAGGAAGATAGCGGACGGGTGTAAGGAGACTACTTGGCACCAGATCCATGGTAGCAAAGCGTATCGCGTTGCGGAAACCCAAAACTGGCAAATGGGAATATTTAGAAGCATTTTGTTTCTTGTCGGGTTAGCGGACGGTCACGTAGTTTTTCTAGAGAGGGTGCGTGCGTGCGTGTGTGTGTGTGTGTGTGTGTGTGTGTGTGTGTGTGTGTGTGTGTGTGTGTGTGTGTGTGTGTGTGTGTGTGTGTGTGTGTGTGTGTGTGTGTGTGTGTGTGTGTGTGTGTGTGTGTGTGTGTGTGTGTGTGTGTGTGTGTGTGTGTGTGTGTGTGTGTGTGTGTGTGTGTGGTGATGTGTGTGTGTGGTGTGTGTGTAACGGGCTAGATGTATTGTATATGATGTTGTGTCGTTAATTTTAATTAATACGGTAGTTGATCTGTTATATATATTATATTAATATAATTCGGAGTAGATGGCAAGCTCCAATCGCACTACTTGGCCCGACTGCTTGCTGGCTTTTGAGTGAGTGGAATAGAGGTTAATTAGAGTTAAATGCAGTATATGCTGCCGTTGAAACCTTATCATAACGTATATAAGGCCAAAGTGACGATTAACGTATTAACTGAGAACTTCATGAAGGACGGTCGGAAGAAGCTCCGTGAATATAATAAGAAGAATTCCCACCAAAATTGCAATTTTAAAAGAAATGACATTGAAAAGCATGGATGAAAACAACTTGGGGTATAGTGGGATTATCAGTGTACATGAGAAGACAGTTATTACAGCTAGTGTATAAGATATAGAATGTTATAGACTTCGTAAAAAGATAGGAAGAATTTATATGGAAAAAGGACAAAAGATCCCTGACATGTTAGTAAAACGAGGAAAGTTATAGATTGGGAAGAGTAATGGTGAGTACTACAAAGAAATATATGGATAAGTACATAGTTGAAATGTATAGCTAATTACCTTAGAGCTGAGCCTCTCAGATATGTTGCCGTGATAAGATTAAAACCTGGAATCACTGATTGATGGATCTGCACTTTTCCGAATTGTGTTGACTGATAAACTGAGAATAAAGTAAGAAGTACACAATTTGTGATATGTAAATTGTAAATAGTTTGTAAAGTATTTGTTAATTACAGAAGCGCGTATCAACGAGAGAACTAGCGCTACGGGTGTTGGTCCAAATCCATGAGAATGTAGGAGCTTCTATAAGAAAGAAAAATGCAGAACTAGTAAGTACGAGGGAGTGTAATGTTAAGAAAGCGAAAGAAAGTGTTTTAAGGGATCTGCGTCTTCAAGCATCCAACTGAATGGGACCAGGAAGCGTCTATTGTCAGAACAGCAAAATCAGAAAATACCACTAAAGCGAATATCCAAAGAAGATCTAGGTCTTCTCGACTCTACATATCCACATCTACTCAAATTGACAACCAGTAGCAACACTCTACATCTCGATACATACGCGGCATTGTGAAAGGTAAGGGGTGACTGATTATGACTAGTATAATTATTTTAGGAATCGGAGTAGTTAAGGTAAGTAAGCAGTTGTTTGTTATAATTGGTGTTCTTATGCATAATGTTGTTTTATCAGTAACTATTGATGAAGTTATACGTTTAACTAGATTATGCAGTGTACAATGCAACTGGAAGCGAGAGAGATAGAGAGAGAGATGATGAATGGGAAAAAGCATGATTATATTATTGATTCATGCAGAATTGAGATGGAGTTGTCGTCAGTCTTAGACGCACGACGAACCAGTTCGGTTCGAAAAACGTTAAGTAAAGGCTGACAGTTGGTATTCTCACCCCGCAGGGTTAATGGCCTGTCAGTCCTGTAAGAAAAGAGAAAAAACTGTATTCACAACACGTGGTTTGTAATACCCTTATGTTAACAGGTACTTATCAACTCCTACAGTCGTTACGGGTCTTCCTCGGCTAACTGGTAAGTCTTGATAGTATTTCGTTTTGTGAAGTTTTTGGTAGAGCATATATGTTGGGGACTTTCATATTAGTGTCGTTTTTTATATTGTTATTTTTGTGGAATTCGTAATGTTTACTTATGATATCTGTGGCTGTGGTTGCTTCTAGATATGTGTATGTATTATTAGAGTCATTGTTTAAATCAGACCCTGTCGTTGCTTTGTTCTATCCCCATTTCTTTAGATATAACATATATGTAGTATTTTTTGCAAATTATTCCATAATTATTGCTGGCTTTGTCTAGTGGACAGAAAATAGAATTTTTTGTAACTTATTGGTCTCATTAATGACTTTCTTATCAACAGAGTGTGGATTATTCAGGTGCTTAAAAAACATTTTTGGTTTTAGAGCTTTATGTATTTTATACTTGATTAATTTCGTTAATTCTTGTAGTATTGTACTTCTAAGTTTATATCTATTTTTCATTACACCTATATAATTACTAACTGTTTCATCTATCCAATTTCATCATTACCGCTTTGGTGGCCACTGTGGTTACCCTGTATTTGCATCCCTTTATCTAATACAGTTCTTAACTAGTGGGTTGTTAATTATACTTATGTCACCTGTAACTATGTGTTTATGATATCTATCCACATATTTATTGTATACTTCTTCTTGACAGATGCAACTGGAATTGAGAATTTCTCTCAAACGTATTGTTGTTGAAGATTGTTGAGTGTTATTATTATAATTGAAGATAAGCCTAGATACTGGGTTGTCAAATTTGTATATTACTCTTAAAGGGATATATTCTATGTATGAGTTATCTCTAAGCTTTTGTTGTATTTGTGTAGAGTTGACAATTTTATTGATATTAATATAGTCCAGAACATTATGTATATAATTAGTGGGTAAGTTGCAGTAAGTCGTTTCTTTACGTGTATGTTCCTTGGAAGCCTCGAAGTGATACTTACATAACAAACAAAGTAACAAGAACTTTTTTGTTTGGGAATGCTCATGAGAAGGGAGTCAGAGTATCATAAATTTATAATTTTATTAATGGTCTTACTGATACTTAATAGTATTTATACTGTTACTGTTCAGTAAGACCGATATAAACTCATCTATGATAGTACTTATATCCTTATTCCTAGTTTTCTTTCTATTTTTGTTACCTCTTCTTTCCCTTCTCTTAAGTATTTTAAGAGAGAAATAAGGATGTTCTGACTTATGTCTAAGTGGATTTACAATGTTGGATATGTTTCCATAAGTTTATATACAAACATTGTTGCCAAAGGGACGAGCTGTTACTAGTAATGCTATCCAGAAAGCTTCTTTGTTATAAAGGACATGTTTGTCCTTATTCTCATTGAGATTTTCTTATATGGAAAAGGAGGAGCGTTTACTCGTACATTTATCATTGAAGTGTTTATACACAAATTTATTAGAATCATTTTTGTAGATGTGATAAGCATGTTCTCTGATCCTGTTCTTAAACTGTCTAGTAGTTATCCCTACATACTTGAAATCCACATTCTAAGCAATTAAGGCTATAAACTAAATTAGTGCTACAACAGCTTGTTCGATTGTTAAGCCATGTATATATTTTTAAATTGGTATTGTTAGATATGACATATTTCTTTTATCTATTATTTTACATTTGTTGCATTTGTTATTGCAGTCTAATAGGACTTATAGTGTTACCAAAGTTGTCCAGTTCATGTATATTGTTAACCCTGCTTTTGTAAAAGACTTGAGTATAATAATAATTAGTGGAATTGACATTACTGGTAGCGGGCCATGTGAGAAGTATGTGGGGGGCCCGACCCACATACTAGGGGGAAGTTTAAAGGGGTTTGCCCGAGGGCACTTGCAAGCCTGTAGAGAACAATATTTGGAAAGGAAAGTGTTAGTAGAGTTTGTTGGCCCTTTTTAGGGCGTGGAGCCTACCCCCAAGCTGGAAACCACTTTTATAACCCTGTAAAAGAGCCCCTATTGTTAAAGGGGTATAGCCTCCATGTTTAAAGGATTGAATAAAGTTATTTATGAAGGAGAATGATAAAACATAAACTAGAGTGATTGTGTTAAAGAATATGTTAAATATGGGAGGCAAAGTCTAAAAGATATTAAATTAATTAGAATGTGTAATGTGTTTAATTAGTAGTGGTAAGATATAATGAGTGAAAGAGTAGGTAAAAGAAGTAAACTTAGCTAATAAAGAATTAATAAGGGTATTTTTTTTAAAAAGAGTTAATGGGAGTAGAAAGAAGAATTTTTTAAAAATGAAGCAGGGTACCATAACACAAACTTAACACTTGAAGTCCTATATTATAGTTGTATGAATGTATTATAGGCTCAACGACAGAAACAAATTAAGTTAACTTTCCAAGAACACGTGAATCGACGCGTATTGTTGGAGTGGGTGCGAACAACCGGATTGGAGAACAAGCATAACTGGAAATATGACAAATTGTTGGCAAATTTAACTAACGTCATAACCGGGTAAGATATTTATATGGATGTTGTGGTTAATTTTAATTAATACGGATGTTTGACTGATTAATATGATATATAATAGGTATTCGAGTGATGGCAAGCCCAACGCACTTACTTGGCCGACTGCTGCTGGTATGAGTGGTGGAATAGAGGTTATTAGAGTAAATGCAGTATATGTGCCGTTGACCTTATTATAACGTATATTAAGGCCAAAGTGTCATACGATTACTGGAGATACTTCATGAAGGACGGTCGGAAGAAGCTCAGTGAATATAATAAGAAGAATTCCACCAAGATCGCCATATTAAAGGAAATGACATTGAAAAGCATGGATGAAAACAACTTGGGGTAAGTGGGATTATCAGTGTACATGAGAAGACAGTTATTACAGCTAGTGTATAAGATATAGAATGTTATAGACTTCGTAAAAAGATAGGAAGAATTTATATGGAAAAAGGACAAAAGATCCCTGACATGTTAGTAAAACGAGGAAAGTTATAGATTGGGAAGAGTATGGTGAGTACACAAAGAAATATATGAGAAGGTAGAACATAGTTGAATGTATAGCTAATTACTTAGATGCTGAAGCCTTCTGTTGCCGTGATAAGATTAAACCTGGAAATCCCTGATTGGAATGGATTGCCATTTTCCGAATTGTTGACTGATAAACATAAGAAAGAAATAGAAGGTAAGTGTGGTACACAATTTGTGAGTAATGTGAATAGTATTGTAAAGTATTGTTAAATTAAGGAAGCCGTTATCAAACGAGGAGACTTAGCGCTACCGGGGTTGGCCAATCCAGAGAATGTAGGAGCTTTCTATAATAAAGAAAAGGAACAGGTAAGTACCTGAGGAGTGTAATGTTAAGAAAGCGAAGAAAGTGTTTTAAGGGATCTGCGTCTTCAAGCATCCAACTGAATGGGACCAGGAAGCGTCTATTGTCAGAGCAGCAAAATCAGAAAATACCACTAAAGCGAATATCCAAAGAAGATCTAGGTGAAAAGGTAGTGGTTGACTGATATGACAGTATAGATTTTTAGGAATCAGTGTTGGTAAGTAGCAGTTGTTTGTTATAATTGGTGTTTCTTATGCATAATGTTGTTTTATCAGTAACTATTGATGAAGTTATACGTTTAACTAGATTATGCAGTGTACAATGCAACTGGAAGCGAGAGAGATAGAGAGAGATGATGAATGGAAAAAGATGATTAGTATATTATCAGCAGAATGAGATGGGTTGCGTCAGTGTGACGCACGACGACCAGTTGGTCGAAACGAAGAAGGGTGACCAGTTGGTCTCACCCCGCAGGGTATGGCCTGTCAGGCCTATAAGAAGAGAAAAACTGATGTGATTTGTAATACCCTTAGTTAAGGTACTATCAACCTACAGCGTCGGGTTTCCCTCGAGCTACTGTAAGTTGATAGTATTCGCAAAGGAAGGTAACAAATAGTTATATACAATAAATAAAGAAAACAAAACTTTTTTGAAGGGGGGGGGTGTCAAGGTGTAGCTTACTCTCCGTTTCGCACGTGCCCTTAGACGGAGAGTAAACGAAAGAATATTCTAAGAATATTCAAAACCCGCAGAAGTAAAAGGAGGAAGGATGTCCGTAGGCATTGGAGGTGAAGCTGTGCCAAATACACGGGTGGGCCCTTATCCACAGAATAAGGTGCATGCGAAAGTGTATAGCAAAGGCAAAAAGTCATGGATTCGTTCACTAAATCGCAGATTAGCAAGTCAGATATGAAACGACGATACACGAGTGTACATCTCATCTTCAGGTGCCACGAGTTGGTATCCTGCCCTTGTCAAGGGTCAGGAAATTTTGGCCCAAAGAAATACCCGGCTGCCATTCTGAGGTCGCCGTTTGTTTCAAACACTCCTCTGTAAGTGATGTTTTAGAGGCCAGAACAAAAGGAAGGAGTGATGTATGGTGAATACTGTATGCTCTTGGATTTTGTAACGATGGTCTCAAGCGACATGTGGACTGATGTCATCATATAGACATAGAAATTTCGCGCAGAAATATCGAAATAATGTTATAATACATTTTGATTGCCTTGAACATTTTTCTTGAAATAGGTCAAAGTAAGCAGTAGCTGCGATAGTCTTGCATTCGCTTAGTACCTTGTAGTGGACCCCTCCCCTTTTCGTTGATCACCAAACCGAGAAATGCTGGCGTTGATGTAGGTTCAGCCTAGGTTGGGCTGGTGGCTCTGTACCCAGGGGAGACAGAAGGCGTGTATCAGACTTATCACCAGTCTTCAGGCCTACAAAAGCATGCTTTCGGTTTGGCTGAGGGAGCATCACAGATGCTGACACATGTTTCTAAGCACCGGTCAGCCGGTGAGTACCATCTTGGTGGCACAATGTGCGTCAAAATTCGTGTGTATGACCACCAATTTCTCAGAAGCAGCTCACCGACAAAAAGCCGTCACATACTGCATGTCAAAGGAATTGATGCAGTCGTCAGATTGTTCTTTTGAGAAGGGGGAAAACAGGTCCACAGCGATGCAAGTACCTCGCGGGATTTCGTCCCAAAACTTCAGTAGGTGAGCTTCGATTAGGCAGGAACTAATTTAATGAGTCAACATAGAGAAATTTGGAGAGCCAGTCCTACACACTTTTAGGCTCGGTAGAGTGTCTCTGCATCGCTGCTTGGTCACCATCGATCCTCGAAGTATAGTGAATCCTGCTAAATTACGGAAGGGTTTGCAAAGAGAGTGTTTGATTCACTGGACTGAGCGATTCTCCAGCACACTTCCCAGAAACAGCTCTCCGGTCTCCAGAATCTTCCCCTATACAAAAACCCTGGAGACTTGTCATTTTCTCAGGATGTCGAGAATGGCATGCATGCTCCTCCAAATTATGCTTGGCGCACATGGCTTTTCTGGCAATTAAAGACTGACTCAACAGGGAAAAGCTTTCCGTCCCGGAAGATAATCTCCTGGTAGCGTGTCATTGTGAGCCGTTAGAGGGCCATATTGCAGTCTAACATTCGATTTTTCTCCACGAGTGAAAGTGGAACGTGGGCCCTCGATAGCTATATGGGCTGAGCCTTAGCCTTTTACTGAGCACGTCAGGGGTACTGCTAATTCCTTGAATTCCTTGCTTCTTGGCAACATTTTCTAGCGACCTTTCGAACCAAGCCGCATGATTTCTCGAAGCAAACCGCATGACGGCTCAAGCCACTTCGAATCGTTTTTGTGAAAAAAAGAATCGATTGAGATTGTTTTGCGGCATGTTAATCGAAGTTCCGAGATGAATCTTCACTTCGAGTTTTCAAACATTTTTCCTTTCAGAGTGTGCTAGCTTTCGTGTTTGCGCGACCTTCGAGCTTGTGCACTCGTACGATCATGGGTAGGTGTGGACTAGAAGTCAGGATTCTCTTTACAAAAGATGAATGATGGTATGGGACTGCCTCACTACCGGTTGGCTGAATATGGTCGCAGCAACTCAGAAAGTCAAATTCTACAACTTGCGCACGCGATTGGAGCGCTCTAATACTTGTCTATAACCATGCTGATGACCGTGTTCGACGGTGGTTTGGAAGCATAGATTTGTCCTTGCCAGGTTAGCAGCGCCCGTGTTGTGCCATGCGCCATAATAAGCTACTTGTAAATCATCACCAACGAGGGAGGTGGTCGAAGAGGAGAGCTTCGTCGTTCTACTCCCTTCGTTTCTGTATTCTTGTTTCACGCGAAACGCGACTTCATTCGTCGACCAATATATAAGAGCAGTCAAAAGAATGCTACATATTACCAGCTCTGAGAAAGTTCGAGAAACTCACCTCTATTGACTGTTTCACAGGCTCGCCTCCGATCCTGAAGCGTCTTACGGTCATAGTTCAGCTTTTTGAGGCACATAATGCCGTACTGCAAGCTGGCTCTGTGAAAATTGTCAACCATGCGTAAATGCGTTCGTAAATCACGTTTTGACAAATGCTCCAGCATTCGTGCGTCCAACAGGCATTCCATAAACGGCGATCTAAAATGAATCAAAATAAATATACTTCATCAGTGCTTTCCCAGGCAATGTATCGAAAGGACACAGGGAAGATATCTGAAACGAAGTTACGGGTCATTCTCCGATTAAAGGAGACGGGCAAAATCTTTTTAACCTTTCAATATTCTTAATAAGAATCACAACGAGTATTGTAACTTTCTAGACTTTTTTGTATGCCGAACATTCTTTTATGTGAATTCTTTATTCAGTCCAAAGTTTCGGTGAGATCGTTTTTCTCAAATGTTCAAAGGTCGAAATCATGTTCACACAGGTTTTTGTATACCAGCCGGCTACGCCGGCTAACGCCGGCGCGCCTTCTTCTGAGATATATTAGGTTGTTCGAAAAGTCCTGCGACACTTTGATTGAATTGTTCTAGAAAAAGACCAAAAATCATTTTGGATGTTTTTATCCCTGATTAGTGGACTGTCCTCTGGGGTTTCTGCACATGGGTATATCATGACTTTGTGGAAGTTTTCAAAGCTTAAAGAGAGATCGAGGTACTTTTCGACCTATCCCATATTATGAGTTCCTGTAGGGCCACTCCGCCGTAGTCGAGGAAGCTAACACTTACGTTGTCTTGAGGAAGGATACAGAGGGCAGCTTTTGCATCAGCGCTTCCAGGCTGGACTTATTTAACTCGTAGTTAGGCAATGTATAGGTCGCCCACCAGCACAGAATGACGGCCCTTTACTCAAGCTTCTTGAGGCGCAGCCGAAGGTAACCACCAGTAAGTTGGCAACCTCTCTAGGCTCCACCTGACTGACAACTGCCATGCTTCTCCGCAATCTCGGTTATCGGAAAAATTTTTTGTGAAGGATGCCTCATGAGTTGGACCCGTCTGACAAGTCATACCGAATGACCGTGACTGAGTTTTCTTTTCCTTGTACACAGCGAAAGAACTTTTGTGAGATCTTGTGGTTGGTAGCGAGTGTTGGAGTCCTTGCGTACATCATGCACATGTCCCTCGCAGGATCTCTCAAACAGAAAAGTAGATTGCTTAGCCAAAAACAGATGTGCATGGGATAAAGATTTCAGTGTGTTATTGGTGGGACTTCAAAGCGGTATCACTGGATACTAGCACCGTTGTAAGGACCACAGTCCACCTTAATCGACTTCAAAATATGGATGACGTCACGCTTGAATTCATTCAGAAATACTCAATTTTTCTCTACTACTCGGCAATGCGAAGACCGCATGTGGGGATCAGGCTACGCCAAAAGATCATGGATTTCGATCAGAGAATGCGACCGTACCCAAAGTTAGCAGCCTCTAATTACCACCTCCTTTGGTCCCTATCGCATCCTTTAAAAAGCAAAAATTCCGAAAATCGACCTCAACTCGAGAATGAGGTCCACCTCTTCTTTTTATCATAGTTGCCGTAGTTCTATGAGAATGGAAATGAGAAGCTGTGCAAAAGAAGGGCACTAGTCATCAGTTGCGATTACCTTGTAGATTGGAGATGTCTTTTAGTGACTGAAAATTTAGTCCGAAAAATTTGGTCAAAGTGTCGCATTACTTTTCGAACAACCTAATAGAATGGCTTCGCTGAGCGGGCACGGCTCCGCCGCCACCGGCTTTTCTTTTATTTGAACAGATGGTCAACATTCTTTGACCAATAGCATGTTCATATTCCACATCATACCTGCTATTTTCAACACTATTACGGTGTATGGAATGGTGGTAAGGAGCGTTGATCAAGTGGAGATGAGAGAAAAGCCGGGTATTAGTCGAGCATTTGATCATACGAATGCAGGCAGGCGCGATGGACCACGCCCCGCAAGCCGGGCCGTATCACAGAGGAGGCCTGGAGTGCTCTGGAACCGCTTGAAGAATTCTTAAGACCGGCCCCGCCTACCTCGACGCACGCTCCACCCATACGGGTACGCCTCACACTTGTGCGGTTACCCCTCGATGACCTACTTCTTACGGCTGTATGGAACATTCAGGAAGTGTTTTAGGAAAATTTAAAATTGGCTCCGCCTACCTCGACGCAAGCTCCACTCACAACGTGTACGCCTCACACTTGTGAACCGATGACCCCTCGCTGATCTCAAACTACTTTTTCCCGGTGTCTGGAGTGTTCTGGAATCGTTTTAGGATTTTTTTCAATTTGGCTCCGCCCACCTCGCCGCACGCTCCGCCCACAACGTATGCCTCGCGCTTCTCAACCGATGACCCCTCGCTGATCTTAAACTACTTTTTCCCGGTGTCTGGAGTGCTCTGGAACCGTTTTATTTATTTTATTTTTCAGACTTGGCCCCATCCACCTCGCCGCACGCTCCGCCTACAACGGTTTTTTGCGCCGCCTGTAGTGCTTTAGGACTTAACTACGATTTTTTAAACTGGTACCTCGTGTTCAAATGCACGCCCCGCCCACTGTGGGCGGGCCTCAGCACGCCACAAACATGGTGGACTCTTGCCAGACGTTCATCTTCGTCATGGACTTTTCTGCGATCTCTAAACATTTCGGGAACCGAGTTACCGACCTTTGTGGGAAGCACCGCCCATCTCAAGTACACCTCGCCCATTTCGGGTGTGTCTCCTCCATTTGCTCTGCCAACCCAATGCTAACCTTATTCCACTTTTTCCCGTCTCCGGGCTGCTTTGTAGCCAAGTTATAGCTTTTTTTCAGTGACACGGGAAGCGCCGCCCATCTCAAGTACGCCCCGCCCATTTCGGGTGTGTCTCCTCTGTTTGGTCGGTCAGGCCTTTGTTAACTTTACTGCACTGTTTCCTCATCTCAGGACTGCTCTGGAGCCGAGACTTTTTTCAGTGACATCGCTAACTTTCGACGCACGCCCCGCCCACTGTGGGCGGGGCTTACCATGGGTCATGGGTGCTATTTAGGTTTTGTCCCATGCTCTACCCATCCCCACCATGACCCGACCCCTCCAAGTCTTCTTCAGGTGCTATGAATTTCGTGACAAACAGACAGACGCACACACAGACACACACATACACACACGCGCACGGACATAGTCGATTATATATAGTAGGATCCCGGTCATGTATTTTTTCTCATTAGCCAGTTCCAACGTCATTTGATGTACGCCAAACAAAGTAGCGCCTCCAGGAAAGGGGCACTTCGCTCCAATTACACCAGCATCAACGGCATGCTGTTCAACAGAAACAAGTGAGGCGTTCCAGTCATGAAACACCATTGTGGCAATAGCAGGGTGTTGATGTGTCATAAATTACTTCACTTTGAATTTGGTCAACTTTTCTCAAATGGAATTTAACCTTTTTTTGATAACAACCTAACCTTTCCCAAATAGCCGCAAAGTTTGTTTCTCCACGTAGTGCCACTGGGAACTGCCCATTTCCGTGGGGTGAGCTAACCGTGGACATATGAAAGCAGGTGAGAGGCCCTCGTGATGGGACCTCCTACGAACACCCATATCAAATCACTCATGTTCGAGATGCCTTACGTATTCCACAACGATGCAACGGCGTCCGCTGGAAACGAAGCTCACTCGCAAGGCCCGGTGAACGTGCAAAGTATGCCAGCGTCTCCGACGCAAGAGCTGCACTAGTGGGCAACTAGGCTAATCTAAACGTCTCCTAGCGCAGTAGGGAAAGTCCGTATCACAAGTGGAACCTTGAGGAGAAGCTCATGTGAGCTGACAGAGGCACTGGAGCGAAGACGAATTGATCTCTGTGTGGTGCAGGAGACAATGTCTGCGTAAGTGGAGATACATTGGTCGCGGCTTCAAAGCCATTCTCTGTGGCGAGCCAAAGACTCCCAAAAGCGTGACCGTGATCGTTTCTCGACGTTTCTGTGACTCGATAGCTCGTGAAACGCTTCGACCGTTTGATCAAGACTATTCTAGCTATCGAGCAACGACCGTATCACTTCTTCACTGCGTGTGCACAGACAGGTAAAGAGGAAGTACTAAGGACGAGTTCCGGTCTCCGCTTGAGAAGAAGACGGAAACGACCTCTCCTCAAGCAAAGCGAAGCGGCTGAGATAACGTCAGAAGATTCTGTCATTTTCATTGGCGACCTGACGAAAGACGGTTACAGTTAGGAGGTCTCGTTTATGGAACACGTAGGGGCGATGGTGAGCGCATTCTGAAATATGCAGAAGCCCATAATGTAGCCATCGTGGACACGTAGTTCCTGAACGCGCCTCCCACCTAGTCATCTTCTACAGTGGAAGTGCCGGACCACAAATAGGCTTTGCTACCTTCGGGCATCGCGATCAAGGGTCATCACAGAAGCAAAGACCGTGCCGTATGGGAAAGTCGCCACGCAGCATCGCCCGCTGATTTGCACGCTGAAAGATCACACCGCTCAGGTCGAAACGGATCGAGCGATGTGGTCCCGAGAGGATCAAATGGTGGCATTGAATTTGAAATAGGCAGCTATGATCTTTCGTATTCTTCCACCAACCGTCACAACTGTCAGCGAAACCTGAAAAAATACTGTAAGCTATAGTCCAGGCGTCGAACTTGGCACAACGAAACCTGGAGTAGAATTGGTAAGTAGGCATGTTGTGGGTAGCCGATGTCAGACTTAAGGCTCGTGAGAAGAAGAGGCGCTACACTTGTTTTCCGGAGACAAGTCGCTGACACTTAGCGAAAGTATCAGGAACCAAAAGTGCTGCAAAGAAGGCTGTGGCTGCTGCTAAAGCCGCTCACGTTGAAGACGTCAGCAAGAAGATGAAGGCGCGAACGGCAACGAGGAGAAGGACCGTCTTCTTGTAGACCGGAAGAAGGCACTGAGGCGATGGTGCCACTACTCTGAGAAAAACTCCACAAGAGAATATACGCAACCGGCCATACTTTATGCTTCACCAATATAGGTCCCGTTCAGAAGATCCCTTGAAGGAAACAGAACCGGCTCTTAAGAGATGAAGCCAGGCAAGGCAACAGGCCCTAACGTCGTGAGAGCCGAAATATGAAGTCACACGTCAGAGGTATTCTGGTGAATGATCGACGAAAGCTCTTCAACCAGGTCGTTGCAGAGAAGAAGCACCGAAGCCCGAAGCCCGAAGGTTGGCAACAGAGCACAACGGTTCCGGTCTGGAAGAAAAAGTTCCGCCCTGCAGACTGGTCAAATTATCGTCCAATTCGCTTATCGCACAAGCATAAAATTTTTTGAGGGAATTATTGACAGCTGTGTCCGTGACATCGTCCAACTCTACCGACCAGTGTAGCTTCACGACCAGCTGCGCCGCCATCGATGCCATGCACACCGCTCCCCTCTTGCTGGAGAAACGTCGCGAGAAGCAGAATCATGTCATCTAGCCTTCGTCGATTTGGAGAAGGCATTCGATCGTGCCCCACCAAAGTTATGTGGTACGCGCAACGGCAGGCGTTTCCGAAAAACTGATTCAGTGGGTGCGCATCTTGCATTATAGCCCAACTAGAGGCGTGCGAACCTCAGCAGGCACTTCGATGAAATTCCCCATCACAGTGAGGGTGCACAAAGCTTCTGTACTTTCCTCGCTCCTCTTCGTTGTCGTAATGGATGCCGTTTCTCGGGACCTTAAAAAACCGACTCCTAGTCGGCTTTCGCGATGCTTGCCTACGAGGATAAGACTGATCTCGAGGAACAAGTGCAAGCTTGGCCTGAAGTTTGGCGAATTTCGAACTCGGAGTCAAGAAAACCGAGTACTTATAAGCGACTCGAACATGCACGGTTCCCTTTGAATCGGGGGCGGAGAGCTAGCGCGCGCAACAGGTTTCAAATATTTCGGATCAACAACTTACGTCTGATGGGAGTCTGACGTCGGAAGTGAGGTCGCTTTTCAGTGCAGCCTGATCGAAGTGGCGCTCTATGACTGGTGTTCTTTGCGACAAGACGGTGCCAGAGCGCTTTCAGTCAAAAATCTATAGAACCGTCAATCGACCTGTTGCGATACCGATCTTGAGGTCGAGGTGCCCGAAGGCGACCTAAGGGATGCCCCACAGCGCTGACTAGACACGGTGCATGTGGACTTAGAGATAGTTGGCACCCATTCCGACCAGGCACTCAATCGGTAGAAGTGGCCAAAGTAAGAAGAGCAGACCTCGCGAAGAAGAAGAAGAAGAAGAAGA